CTATTGTTCTTTTTTGTCAACAGTTATCTATTTTACATTAGTTAACTTATTGTTAACACATATAGTTATATATTTTTTGAAACGATGGATCGATCAGTGTTAGACCACCATTAGAAACCTGGAATCACTGAACGATGGCCATTTCGTCCTAGTATGGGACTCCTCAGTGGCAGTGCGCATCCACGACCCTTGCACCCCGCAGCATTCGAACCCAGGACCTTCGGTATTGTGAGCAAACGCCCTATCCGTTAGACCACTGAGCCGGTATCTAATGCTGTTAATGTCTAACTTGATCAAATTCACGGAATTGCGCAACCTCATACACAGTCTTCGGTAGACATTGCCTACACCCGAAGAGGTTGAACTTCACTGGTCACGACGTCTTCCCACTAGAACTCGGAGAAGATTCCTCCTCACGAAGCTAGTCACTAGTGAGCACAGCTAATTTGCATGACGGGGTTGTGTAACTTAACCAACTTCACAACCCCGTCATGCGTATAGTTATATGCATACCATTCCTTTGTTTATAAGTATGACTCGATTTACACTTATCTTTGTATTAATTAATGATAAAATCTTACAAAAGTGAGGTAAACACTAAACTTTAATTAAAGAAGTTTATTATCAGATATTTAAATTAATCTATCACTTCTAACTGATGACTAACTGAATTGTAAGTGATTTATGGTTTCAATATAAAGGGAATTTAGTAGTGTTAACAATATAATACTCCGAGAACAAGTTTGCCGGCATAATTTAATTGATATGGCTTGATGTTCATAGCGATAGGAAAGTTAGTTTTATGGATAAATTCAGATTGAATATTTAAGATATTGCTATTAATAATGTATGATATGAAATGTATTTATGATTCATTGGCGTCTGTAACAGGCTGATACAACTGTTGCCTATCGTCCTTGCTAATGATGCCTGTTGCCCTCGAAATGTAAGATGTTACTTCAAGATTGGGTTGCATCGTCACCTGAACTAGTGATAGGGAGTGAAGTAGTCAGGCGTGTTGACCGCTTCACTCATCTTGGGAGTCTCATCAGTTCTGATGGCCTGGTGACTGACGAAATCTCAGCGCGGATACAGAATGCTCGATTGGCTTTTGCCAACCTGCGTCACTTATAGCGCAGGAGAGATATCCGCCTGTTAACCAGAGGACGAGTGTACTGCGTAGCAGTTCGCTCTGTCCTACTATACGGATGCAAAAATGGCCGTCAAGAGTAGAAGACATTCTTACGTTACTAGTCTTCGATCATAGGTGTATCCGAAGTATTGTTCATGTATCCTGGGACGACCGAGTAAGCAATGCTATCGCTAGGAAACGAGTTCTAGGTAAGGATGGCAAACCAATAGATGAAGTATTGAAACTTCATCAGTTGAGGTGGTTGGGATATGTATTACGTATGGCTAATCACCGACTGCCTCGACGAGCTATGTTTTGTGGTGTAGGAGTAAGTTGAAAGAAAGTTAGGGGCGGCCGAACCAAAACATGTCAGAAATCCATGAAGTCACTGACAAGTGGACCGCGTCGTGTTGGCAGATGTAGGCTATCTGGTTGGCATCCACGAGACGTAAGTCACCAATGGTTAGAGACCTTCAACGACATGGCTCATAATCGTTTTCAATGGCGCGAGTGCATCCACTCTTTGTGCGCTTTTTAATTCTAACCTTCTGAATTCCTCATAATCTCTATCTTTCTCCTTCTAAATTTGTGTCACTGAATTATACTTCTCGAATCATATCTCCACTCCCTAATCTCCTGGATTACTGCTAATAATTCTACTATCGCTATTACTCTTGGATTTGAACTGACAGTTACGTCTCTGTGCTAATGTGTAATATGGCAACCTGAACTGATGTACTTACATACGAAGTTCTGCGTTGTATCTGTCCGTCTGTCTGTCTGTAACAGGCTGGATTCCGAAAGGACTGATCGTGTAGCAACCGAATTGCGACATTATGGTTCATTTCGAAACAGTCAGTTGAATGGAATTCATCACTCTACTTCAACTTCTATGACTATGAAAAAGCATTGAAAAATGTAGACAGAAAGACACTATGACTTGCCTGATAAGATAGTTAATATTATGCCACATTCCTATGATGGACTATAATACAAAGTCGTGCATGAAGGATAGCTCACTAACTCTTTCCGAGTGAAGACCAGTGTCAGAAAAGGTTGCTTACTCCCAACCTTTCTCTTTCTCTTGGTGATCGACTGAATGATGAAGAAGTCAATATTTGCGAGAGGGGATAGACAGAATGTAGCTGGACTATAAAGAATTCACAGATGATCTGGCTCCTCAATCGCACACACAACAACAAATTCAACAGAAGACGACCAGTGTGGTAGCAGTGGGTTTCAACATACACAAAAGAAAAATCAGTGTTTTGTAGGTGCGAAGTTTTGATGACTAAGTATAAAAATGTATTCACTAGGGACTAGATTCATTAGGAAATTTTTGGAGTTCTAGTGTGAATACATGACCAGTAGAGTTCAACCCTGTCGGATGTAGGCAGTTACCTACCATTGACAATATGTGAGGTTGAACAATAACACCATTCGGTGCCGGCTCAGTGATCTGGAGGTGAACCTTTCGCGTACATGAGACCGAAGATCCTGTGTTCAAATCCTTCGAGCGGCGGCAGTCATGGACGCGCATTGCAGATGAGTCTTATTCCAGGACGAAACGATAGCCCTGTGATTCTTGGTTTCAAATGGTGCTCTAACAATGATTCATTCATAATTTAAATGTGTTAAAACAATGATCTTCATAATAATACCATAATAATAAGCTTCTCTACAGAGTTCAATTGTAACATGATTATTTGATTCCTCAGACGACAAATAAATTAAAAATTCCTCATGATCTTTACACTATACTTTCTGATATATTTCAAGGAAATAATTTTGTTATTGTATGAAATAACATTTTAATTATTTTTACTGGTAAAATGTGAAATTCATTTCATGTTGTGTATTGTGTATTTGGCAAGAACAAGGATATTTGAATAAAATGATTTGTTAAAAAAATCAATAACTAACCCTATTTTTTTTAGTCTACTCATCTTTTGAACCATCAACTTTTAAAAGATCTTAATTCTATTTCCAATTCGATATGACTATAAATATTTGACTATTTGACAGAAAGTTAATAATAAAGTACATATACGTATACATATTTCAAATCATGAATCGATCAATGTTAGACAACCATTAGAAACCTGGAAGCAATGAACGATGGCCATTTCGTTTTGGTATGGGACTCATTGCAGTGCGCGCCCGGCTCAGTCGTCCAGAATTTCGTGCGTAAGACTGAAGGTGCTTGATTCGACTCCTGTGAGTTGTGGGAGTTGTGGGTGCGCACTGCCGATGAGTCCCATACCGGGACGAAACAGCTATCCAATGTTTCAAGGTTTCTAATGGCATTCTAACATAGATTTACTCATGATTTCAAAAAGTATTTATAATTGCTTGATAAATATATGTAAGTCCATAGAAGTATATGAAAGTTTGATTGTATCATAAGGCAATCCGAAATTTCAATTATCTAAAATAAGTTGCCTTGTAGTGAACGAGAACACGAGTGGGGCAACCGAATTGCATTTAACGAAAATTACAGAGTTACTCAGTAAAATCGGAAAACCATATCGTAAATCGTTAATTTGCAAAATATCAGTTCATCATCATATGGAACTGGACTGTTTCTGTTGCAAAACATCAATCCATTTTTCACTATTCATGCGTTTCATACAAATTCCATTGTGTTCTAACTCTTCTTCCTTTCTTGATCTTCCCCCATCTTCTGCTGCTGCCAGACATTACGTTTACACTCACGTCATATACTACTTATAAGTAGCTCGCACCACAGCCTAATCAACCATGAGTTAGAGAGAAGAATGACGGGGGATGAAAATAAGTGAAAGGTTCAAAATATGACAAATAATTGTTCACTTGACAGATTTGAAAAAAGCGAAAAATTTAAAGGTTGTACTAGTAATTGACCTTATTGTCCAGTGTTCATCAGACGAACCTAGTATTTAGCCAATGGTAGCATTGCACTCTCTTTTCCAAGGTCATGTCATTTATCAACTTAACTATAAGTATACGAATGGTATAGCTGTGTGATGCGCGCTACTTATATATATAGTATATGACGAGAGTGTGAACGTAATGTCTGGCAGCAGAAGATGGGGGAAGATCAAGAAACGAAGAGTTAGAATAACACAATGGAATTTGTATGAAATGCATGAATAAGTGAAATGTCAGATAATGGATTGATGATGGATTAAAGATTTGCAAATTAACAACGGTTTACGACATGGTTTTCCTATTTTACTGAGTAACTGTGTAATTGGCGATAATTACAATTCGGTTGCCCTCACTTGTGTTCTCCTCCTTCACTACAGCTGAAGTGATTGACATTGTCGAACAGAAAATTTTTTATTGTTGAGTTTTGTATATATTTTCATTCGACAACCGATAATGGGTTAGTTTAATTACATTTCTGTCATTCAGACTTTGTATAAATAAATATTTTATGTGGAATTTTAATTATCATCTCTAAATATTCTATTTAATGGTTGATTGTATTTACTTTACTTTTGCTAGTTAATCCCAATGGATCATAGACCGCCTACCAGTATTCTCCAGCCTAATCTGTCCTTGGCCTTCCTTTCTAATTCTGTCCGACTGTTGTTCACTCTTCTCATGTCTGTCCCCATTTCTCAGAGCAATCTGTTCTATGGCCTTCCTCTTTTCCCCTGCCTTTGAGAGTCTTGTGACGCAGTAGAGATGGTTTCCTCAATGTGTATCCTATCCTCACTTCCAGCGCTTCTTCCTCATTCCTTCTTCCACCGTTGGAATCTGGTTTGTGCTTGTCCATAGTAGGTTGGTTGTTGCTAATAGTGTCTGGTAGTGTTGGACTGCACTAAAACTTTTTTTTAATGAAATCCTATTTACTTATCTAATCTTATTCAATTTATTTCAGATGTCATTCGCATAAACATGGTTGCTTACGTATTCCAAATTATCGATTGGGTTTTTTCTTTTTCCAAAAACAACCAGTACATTGAACTGAATTGAATTGAATGCAGAAAGTAACATTATCTGTCATTAATAAATCAGAAGTAATATTCATCAATGATGAAGTGTAATTGCTGTTTACAAACTCAAGTATGTTTTGAACTTGATAAAAAAAATAATTTTGTGAATATATATTTTCGCTAACATAAAATGAAACATTTGTGTCATGGATTACATTAAATTCTGTTGATTCAAAGTTGAAGAGTCCTTAAAATGTGAAGAATTATTCGTCCATGATTTTATTTACTGTTCGTTATATCCCATTTATTTTAAATTTTTTTCATAAACTGAGATTATCTGTCAGTCAGTCAGTCAGTCAGTAACAGCGTAGAACTTCGTACGTACGTACATACCACGATACCACATCGATACAACTGTCCATTCAAATCCTATAATGATAGAGGTAGTAGAAGTATTAGCTGTAATCGGAAATATTAGGGTTCGAAGATATTATTTATTCAAAAAGTATAATCTACTGAAATATACTTAAAAAGAGAAAGATAGAGGTGATAAGGAATTCAGAAGATTAGGATTTGAGAGAACACAAAGAATGGATGCACCTGCTTCATAGCAAACGATTTTGAGACATGGGATTCAAAGTCTCGAACCATCGATTACTATCATCTCACCGGACCCCAACCAGGAAGTCTATACTGACCGACATGACTCGGTCCACTTGTAAGTGACTTCATGAATTAGTGCTTAGTTTACCTACTTAAAAAGTTAGGGGCGGCCAGACCAAAACATGGCAGAAATCCATGAAGTCATTTGCAAATAGACTGAGTCATATCGGTAATTGTCGACTACCTGGTTGAGGTCCGCGAGATGATAATAATCGATGGTTAGATACCCTGAATGACATGGCTCTAAACCGTTCGCAGTGGCGCCGATGCATTTATTCTCTGTGTTCTCTCAAATCCTAATCTTCTGGATTCTTCAACAACTCTAGTTTTGACTTTCTAAACTTTTCTCATTTAATCATACTTCTTGAATAATATCTTCTAATCCTAACCTCTTCGATTACTTCTAATACCTTTACTACCTTTTCTACTATTGGATTTGAATTGACAATTACATCTCTGTGCTGATGTGGTATGGCGACATGAACTGATGTACTTACGTACGAAGTTCTTTCTACGTTGCGTCTGACTGACTGACTGACTGACTTAAATATTGATGTCATTAACTTTTTGAAGGTCAGAAAGGTTTCTGTAAATGCCAAAGTAGTAGATCTAGCATCTGAATTAGTGGTAATAGAAATTATTAGCGATCAAAGATATCATTTGGAAAGCATAACCCAGAATAAAATGAATTTATAAAAAAGAGAATCAACATCACGAATCCAGAAGATGCATCTGCATCATTTCCAACGATTTCCAGTCAGGTTGTTCAAAATCTGTAACCACCGGTAACGATTGTCTAATGAACCCCAATCAAGATAGTCTAAACCTACCTACTAATACGGTAGTAAGTGTGACTTCATTGATTTCGTTAAAAACAAGTTGAAAGTACTTTCTGTTTGTGACCTCGGTTATCTTAACTGATTGATTACTTGAACTGGAATTGAGCTCATAAAACTCATATCCTGAATCACAGTTCATCATCATTGAGCATTACTCTATCGGTCACGATTACGAGCTGCAAATTCCAAAATAAAGTTTCATATATATAGAATCCTTGGACAATTTATTCATCGTATGTATACTGATTAAAGCTCAAGTGAATATGTATTATGACCTGTACAAATCTTTACCTGACTTGATGAATCACCAACTTAAAATGATCAGAACTTCACAAGCTTATATCAATCTTTAATTTATACACGTTATTATTGTAAACTGACGCCTAGTATAATAACGAAACGTTAGCTTTCAAAGTTTTCAATATCTTGGGTTTCTTATGTTGTTATTCATTTCGTGGAGGTAACATAGCTTATTGAGATTTTTAATGGTTACATAATAAGTAAAGATTATAGTACTAGAGTAACAACAAAGCAATACATTCACGTGATACGTTCTCGACTATAAAAAACACATTTAGACTGACTGATTCTAACGAGAGCATCAACGAGATCATAACATAAAGACGATTAACTGATATCACCTGAAAGTACTTCAGAATGTTTGATTTATTCAGTATTAAATACAGTGGAAGGATACATGGGAAATTTGAGCGACTTGGGAAAATTGCAGTTGATCAATCACACTCGGTAGTGAACAGTGTCATGTATTTCAAATCCTTCTTAGTGATGACTAAGTTCTATTAGTCCAGTTGCAATTTGGTCACTAGTCAAGGTGACTCGACATTGTATGCATTATGTTAAGGTGTAAGCTGGTGGGTTGGAGGTAGTCATTACTTACTTACTTACGCCTGTTACCCCAAATGGAGCATAGGCCGCCCACCACTTTTCTCAAACCAACTCTGTCCTGGGCTTCATTCTCCAGTTCTGTCCAATGTTTGTTCATTCCTCTCATATCTTTCTCTATTTCACGGCGTAATGTGTTCCTTGGCCTTCCTCTTTTCCTTTTGCCTTGAGGGTTCAGTGTGGGGGCTTGTCTTGTGACGCACTTAGGTGCTTTTCGTAATGTGTGTCCTATCCACTTCCACTGCTTCTTCCTGATTTCCTCTTCCACTGGAATCTGGTTTGTTCTCTCCCACAGTTCGTTGTTGCTGATGGTGTCTGGCCAACGGATACGAAGTATTTTGCGTAGACAGCTGTTAATAAACACTTGTATCTTCTGGATGATGCCTTTCGTAGTTCTGCAAGTTTCCGCTCCATATAGTAGAACTGTCTTGACATTTGTATTGAAAATGCTGATTTTGGTTTTGGTTGGAAGTTGTTTAGAGTTCCAGATATTTTTCAACTGTAGAAATGCAGCCCTTGCTTTGCCAATCCGCGTCATCACATCTGCATCGGATCCACCTTTCTCGTCGATGATGCTGCCCATAGGTAGTCATTAGGGAAACCTTTCAACTCAATTTCATGCCATTAAGCACTCGTAATAAACATTTACCTGTAATTTTAAGAGAACTGGTGCTGCTTGAGGAATTCAGTCAGGAATTCATAGTCAGACAGGTTACCACTAAGTTCGCTGAGTCTGATTAGTGAAAAAAGAACGAGACCTAAGTCGCGATTTAGCTGTCGAGTACTACTAACCACCATATTACACTTAATAAGTTCACAACATCATCGTGTTTACTGTCTAATAACAGAGTATACAGTCATTGAGGGTACAAATTAAGGAAACAGACGTGTAAGGAATATTCAAACTTCAATAATATTATGCTTAGTATCATATGACATTCCCATAGCATTCCATAGGTCAGATAACGTTGCGAATCAGAATTTTACGGTCCATATAGTCTTTATTCTTTCCAACATAGACGACTTATGGAGACTGTTGGTTTCCATAGAAATCATGAATCAATTATTGTTAGGAGGACGTTAACACCTATACATATCTTGGCAGCATCATGGACGAGAAAGGTGGATCCGATGCAGATGTGAGGGTGCGGATTGGCAAAGCAAGGGATGCATTTCTACAGTTGAAAAATATCTGGAACTCCAAACAACTTTCAAACAAAACCAAAATCAGGATTTTCAATACAAATGTCAAGACAGTTCTACTGTATGGAGCGGAAACATGGAGAACTACCAAAGCCATCATTCAGAAGATACAAGTGTTTATTAACAGTTGTCTACGCAAAATACTTCGGATTCGTTGGCCAGACATGATCAGCAACAACGTACTGTGGGAGAAAACAAACCAGATTCGAGTGGAGAAGGAAATCAGGACACAAGACAAGCCCTCACATGGAACCGTCAAGGCAAAAGAAAAAGATGAAGGCCAAAGAATACATTACGCCGAGAAATAGAGAAAGATATGAGAGGAATGAACAAACATTAGACAGAACTTGAGAGGGAAGCCCAGGACAGAGTTGGTTGGAAAAATCTACTGGGCGGCCTAATCTCGATTGGGTGTAACAGGCGTAAGTAAGTAAGCAAGTAAACGAGTAAGATCATCAAAAACTTGGAAGCACTGCATATCCGCTTTGCTCTACTAGTATGGGACTCTTCATTAGTGCACATCTACGACATCCACCACTCGCAAGAATCGAACCCAGGACCGTAAGTCTCATGAGCGCGAATGCTTAATCTCTTGACCATTGGACCGGAATCCAACGGTGTCAATTTCTAAACTTATTCTTTTGGCTGACAATCGACAAGTACTCTTGTTCTACTCAAAAACTTATATTTTTAACTAACACTGATTTATACTTATCTTGGTGTTCAGTGTTTTATTTTTAATTAAAACTAATAATTAGCTAAAAATATGATTATTAGTCATTCGGTTCGCTATTATTTAGTTATACTAAGAAGTCATTTATCGTTTCTCAGTCACATTAAAACCATACTCGCTGTGTTAAACAGTGTCTCGAATGACAATTCACATATTTTTTTTATCATGAATAAACTGTGATAGTGCTGTACATTCCTTTGATGAAAAAAATGGTTGTTTTTTCTTGTATTCTATTAATTAGGTTTGTTGTTCTGTCCAAGAGTTTAGCACATATTATTTTCTGGTTAGTGTCTGTCATAGTTCTTTTTTGTTTATAAGTTGAGATTGAAAACTCAATGCTCAACAATATCATCCCTCTAACTTTGTTTGTCGACTTACAGTATGACGATGACATGACAAAATGCAGAGTCGTCTGACCACCCTAAGCAACAATGCAAGCTTGTTTAGTTAGTATGAGGTATTCTCCCTTGAAATGCGAAATGTTGCTTCAAGATTGGATCGCATCGGTATCTGAACTGGTGATAGGGAGTGAAGCGGTTGAGTGTTACCCGCTTCACCTCTTCACCTTGTGGTGCGCGCTACTTATAAGTAGTATATGACGCGAGTGAAAACGTCATATCTGGCAGCAGAAGATGGAGGGATGATCAAGAAAGGAAGAGTGAGAACACAATGGAATTTGTATGAAACGCATGAATAGTGAAATGTCAGACAATGGATTGAAGATTTGCAAATTAACCGTTTACGATATGGTTTTCCTATTTTACTGAGTAACTCTGTAATTGGCGATAAATACAATTCGGTTTCCCTCACCTGTGTTCTCCTTCACTATAACCTCACTAGGGTGTCTCATCTATGCTGATTTGCGGGTGATTGACAAAATCTCAGCACGGATACAGAAGGCTCGATTGGCTTTTGCCAACTTGCGTCACTTATGATGTAGCTGATATCCATTTGCTAACCAAAAGACGGGTGTACTACACAGCAGTACATGGATGGATGGATGCGAAACATGATCAGTCAGATTAAGAGATATTCATAGGTTACTGGTTTTTGATCATTTGTGTCTTCTAAGCATTGCTGGTGTTACATAGGACCATCGAGTAAGTAATGCTGTTGTAAGGAAACAGGTAGGAATGGCAAATCAATAGATGAAGTATCAAAACGAATGTTCAACCGCTGACCATAGAATTTGAATTGACAATTGCATCTTGAACGGATGAACATACTCACGGAGTTCTACTCTGTTACTGACTAGCTTGACTGACTGACTTACCTTAGATTGGGATCGACCTTAACCTAGACGGAGAGTTAGAGCACACTGTTACTAATGTTTATTCTTAGATCAGTTTAATCTTAATGCAGTTCATTGAAACTATTATTCATATATATATATATATATATAAATATATATATATATATATATATATATATATATATATATATTTAACAGTACATTACTGTCATCAGTTTTTTGTGCATAGCTAAAAAGCCATTGTTAATTCTTTCTAATTTTTAAATTAAAAATGCTAGAAATAATTGAAAATCCAGTTCAAGTTAATGTATCCAAACTGTAACAACCAAAAAAGCGCCTCTATATATTTACACAATTTTTGAAACCATGAATCGATCAATGTTAGACCACCACCATTAGAAACCTAGAAGCACTGGACTGGTCAGTGGTCTGACGGTTAGGGCGTTCGCACACAATACCGAAAGTCCTGGGTTCGAATTGTGCGGGGTGCAGGAGTCGTGGATGGGCACTGTCACTGGTGAGTCCCATACAAGGACGAAACGGCTTTCTTTCAGTGCTCCCAGGTTTCTAATGGTGATGGTGTAACATTGATCGTCGATTCATGGTTTCAAAAATTGTGTAACTTAACAATTTTCACAACCCCGTAATGCTTTACATATTTACACAATTTTTTTTCTGTTTAGGTTGAAAATATTGGTCCTGCTATATCTGTACTAGAGGGAAACATTGAAGATGGTGATGTTCTACAAGAAATTGGTAATGCTCAATATACATTGGAGTTTCTACGACAAATTGTTCAACAATCCGCTAGGTAAGAATGTTTTTAAAAAAAATGTTGAGAAAGCTTATTGTGGTGGGTTTTTTTTGCTCTTACCATTTATCTTATAGAAATCACTGGTTTTTTTCAATTTGGAAGATTAAATTTCTCAGTTTACAGCATGACACTATGAAGTTAGATTTTTATGTGGTAGTGTTTCGTTCACTAAGCTAGATATCCTGGTTGTGGAGCTTTCAATGTTCTTCTGCTGAACAACATAATCAGCACAAATTTCAGATGGAAGTGAAGCACTCGAATTTCTCCACGTATGTTCTGTTCTGCTCTGTTGACCTCAATCTTGATTGGTTGTGACTGACCTTAAATCTGTCGTTATTTGCACATATGTTTTGATTGTATCCCCCTTTTGATCTGTTTCTTGATCCCGTCCATGTTTACCTATGCTTTTTCTGATTAGTTGATAAATTGGGTCAATGTCGCGATGTGTTTAATAAATTTAAGATTGACCTGAGTGCCAAGCATTGAATACCTCACTTCTATTGTGGTGTGAGCTACTTATAAGTAGTATATGACGTGAGTGTAAACGTAATGTCTGGCAGCAGAAGGTGGGGGAAGATCAAGAAAGGAAGAAGAGTTAGAACACAATGGAATTTATATGAAACGCATGAATAGTGACAATGGATTGATGTTTTGCAACAGGAACAGTCCAGTTCTGTATGATGATGAACTGATATTTTGCAAATGAACGATTTACGATATGGTTTTCCTATTTTATTGAGTAACTCTGTAAATTTCGTTAAATACAATTCGGTTGCCCCACCTGTGTTCTCCTCCACTACACTATCTGAAATTTGTGCTGATAATGTTGTTCAGCAGGCGAACAATGAAAGCTTTACACAACCAAAACATCTAGTTCAGAGAACGAAGAAACATCACCACAATCATCCACCTCAGCTACAAATCTTCTTCACTATCTCTCAAAGATACTTTTTAGTTAGTTACACATTGTAGTTCAGATGCTTCCATTCTTTCAGTCATAGTATATCCTTCATATTTTACACTTTGTACCTATCATTCAATTTGTGATTTGGCACAGAGATCATTTATTTGCACTGGTGACGTTTGTCACATGACCGATTTGAGTGAACTTAATTAGTTATATAGTTTGTACCTGAAAAAAAGGCGTTCTTTATTAATATGAAATACTTTCGTTTGGCTTTCTGATGTTAAATAATGATTGTTGTATTTTTTTAACTAACTAAGGTCAGTTAGTGATGTTGATCTAAAAAAAAACTCGTTATGTGGTAATGAATAAGATTCTAATTTTGTTTCTGTAACTTATGCCCAAGTTACTTACTTATTTACTTACCTACTTACACCTGTTACCCTCACTGTGTAGTGAACGAGAACACAGGTGAGAGCAACCGAATTGTATTTAATGAAAATTTCAGAGTTACTCAGAAAAATAAGAAAACCATATCGTAACCGTTAATTTGCAAATCTTCAATCCATCATCAATCCATTGTCTGACATTCCACTAATTCATGCGTTTCATACAAATTACATTGTGTTCCCACTCTACTTCCTTTCTTGATCTTCTCCCATCTTCTACTGCCAGACATTACGTTTTCACTCGCGTCATATACTACTTATAAGTAGCTCGCACCACAATAGGAGCAGTTCCATATGATTTCGTTTTTGAAGTCAAGATCTCTGTGAAGTTTGAAAATTCTGCTCTTTCTCTAGCAATAATCTAACTTAGCTATGAGTATATGATTACTGTCATCTAAGAGCAGGGATGTAGTTTAAGAAATTGAGAAGATAAAAAGTGACGTCTAATTATTGCCTAAATTGGGCTGTTGCATATGGAAGATCTGCATGGAAAATTTGGAAAATTCATGTTTCCGGAACACCTATGCACAGTCAGTCAGTTGCAACGTAGAACTACGTACGTATGTACATAAGTTCATGTTGCCATACCACATTAGCACAGAGACGCAAATATCAAATAAAATCTCATAGTGATAAAGATAGTAGAGGTATTAATGGTAATGAAGACTAAAGGGTTCGAAGATATTATTCAAGGAGTATAATTCAGTAAGATAAGGTTAGAAAGACAAAAGTAGAAGTGCTGACGAATCCAGAAGATTAGGATTTGAGAGAGCACAACGAATGGATGCACTTGCGCCATTGCAAACGATTTTGAGCCATGTCGTTCAAGGTCCCTAACCATTGGTAACTTGCGGACCACAACCAGGTAGTCTACATCTACCAACATGACTTAATCCACTTGTCAGTGACTTCATGGATTTCTGCCATGTTTTGTTTTGGCCGTCCCTAGCTTTCTTCCAACCTACTCCCACGCCACAAAACATAGCTTGTCGAGGCAGTCAGTGGTTAGCCATAGGTAACACATGTCCCAACCACCTCAAATGATGAAGTTTCAATACTTCATCTATTGATCTACCATCCTTACCTAGCACCCGTTTCCTAACGACAGCATTGCACATGGGCTTCAGGATCCTAATGGAAAAAATGTTACATGAACCTATCATTAGTCGCCGGGTATCTGACAACAAATTCCATTTCCTGATGTTTTTCCACTGTCTTATGAATTAAATCTGTAGGTCAAAGTCTCACAGACTAAGTCTCCAAAAACACTACTCGAATAGTAGTATAGCTCATACACAACAAGGTGAATGATTCATGCATGATCTATGTTTGCTTTGATTCCCCCTTTGTCCCAAAGTTTATTCATTTAAACAAAAAAGCAAACTGACAATATTATCATTATTGATTTGTTTACGAATTTTTCGAAAAATTAGTTCATTGAAACTAATTAACTAATTTCAAAATAGTAGTCCACTAGAGTGTAAGGTACTAACCTGTGTAGTTGCGTCTTAGGATTGAGCTATATTACTTGGGTAGTAATGTAAACATAAGGACAGTGTTTGTGACTGCCTCGACGAGCGATGTTTTGTGGTGTAGAAGTGGGTTGGAAGATAGATACGGGAGGCCAAAACAAAACATGTCAGAAATCCATGAAATCACCGGCAAGTGAACTGAGTCATGTTGATAGATAGAGACTACTTGGTCAAGGTACTCGAAACGTTAGTAACCGATGGTTAGATACGTTGAACGACATGGCTGAAAATCGTCTGCAATCGCACAGGTGTATCCATTCTTTGTGTTCTCTGTAATTCTAATCCTCTTTATATTTCTTGTTCTAGATTTACCTCACTGAATGTTACTTCTTGAATAATATCTTCGAACTCTAATCCTCTCCATTACCGGTAATACTTCTGCTATCACTACCACTATAGGAGTTGAACTGACAGTTGCGTCCCTGCGCTGACTCGTTATGGCAACCTAAACTTATATACTTACGTAGGAAGTTCTACGTTGTTATAACTAACTGACTGACATTAGTTGGTAATTGCTATGTTCATATATCGGCACATTTAGTATAGCAAAGATGTAAATGAATTTAATAGACTGAATAAAAGACTGTGAATATATACACTTTTAACAGAAGAACATATGAAAAGAATGGACAATAATTGGGCAGCACTTAAAAGGAAGGCCAGTAAAAAAAGTAGGTTGAAGAACGCGGGTCGGCGGCCTATGCTCCACTGGGGGTAACAGGTGGAAATCAGTAAGTAAGTAAGGTAAAGAAAGAATACCAACTATCGAACACGTAAATTAGGTTTCAAGCGCCTGATAGAGGTCGTTCCAACATGATTTAGAAGATTGGAGGTTGGCAATTTATCAGTCACCTTGAAATATCTTACTTACTTGATGAAAATTACAGACACCTGTTTCCCCTGTTAGGAGAGCATAAGCCACCGATCAGCCTTCTCCATACAACTCTATTCTCTGTTCTCCTTTCCAGCTATTTCTAATGACTATGCATTCTTTTCATATCCATCTCCAATTCTCAACGCAGTGTGTGTGTTCCGCAATCTACCTCTTTCTCTCCAGCTATAGCCCTTTTTTTAGTCTAACTCCCGAGCTCAAACTCAAATAAAGGAGGAGGGTTGAGCACGAAGTTAGCGATTCCATCGTGCTGTAAACCAACTTGCTAAAGTATTATATCCAACCTATGTATATTCGTTTCATCTTAATCCTTCGGTATAGTATATATTTGATAAATTAAGGTCACTGCACGATTATTATTACCATTATTACTAACATCATGACACTGTGAGTAGTCATTTCGTTGAAAGAGTGATCTGTTTTTGCTGAAAACTGATTTGCTTTTGTTGATTTTTGATGATTTCAAATGTGTAAAAACGCAAACCTCCAAAACTCGGCCGCAAAATATCGTAACAGTGCTCACTAGTGACTAGCTTCGTGAGGAAATTCTCAGAGTTCTAGTTGAGAAGACTTGACCAATGGAGTTCAACCCTGTCGGGTATGTATAGGCAGTAACTACCAAAGACAAATGGGTGAGGTGGCGCAAAATCCCTAGATCAATCAGAGTTAGACATTAACACCACTGGATGCCGGCTCAGTGGTCGGATGGTTAGGCGTTCGCGCACAAAACCAAAGGTCCCGGGTTCGAATACTGCGAGGTGCAGGAGTCGTGGATGCTCACTACCACTGATGAGTCCCATACTAGGACGAAACGGCCGTCTTTCAGTGTTTCCAGGTTTCTAATGGTGGTCTAACAATGATTGATTGATGATTTCAAATGTATATACGATAAGCTTTATTTAGCAAGTCCAGTCATATCAATATTTTTGAACCAAATTTTTCATCAGTACAAATTGTATCTATACTTAAATGTTCAACAAATCAACATTTGAAATCAACATTTCAATTGTATAGTTAATTCTGAAGAGAAGAATTAACTATGAACTATATTCTATTTAATGGTATGGTATGGAATGAAAATGACCTTTTTAAACAGTCATTGAAAATTGAACATAAATGTATTTATTCAGTAAAACAAATATAGAACATTGATCAGATTTTTTTTTAAAAAAAACGAACGAATGAAATTATTAATGTATGAGAATATGATGATGATTGCC